CCCTTACTCTCTAAAAGGCTGTCGTAGTGGACTTTGTGTCCCGATGTCTTTAGTTGCTTCTTACCCCTTGTACACTGATGCCAATGTCATTTTATTCCTCGTTTTATTTAAACTATAGGCATTGACCACCCCTGTACACATTTTTGGAAACCTATGATGATTTTGTTGGTACATTATGATTGCATGACAAGATAATTGTATATACTTATGCCATATACAATTCTCAAATACGTTTGGCGTATTTTTTTTTGTATTAAACTATTTGGACGCCAATACGTAGTACTAATGTCATATTTTTTGTATTTATCATGACACTTTTTGATTTTTACTTAATTACTTTATTACTCTATTATTTTATTGTTTATTTCCTTAATATAAACTACCAGAATGTCCATCAACTAATAATAACCCATTGTTAAGCAACATCAATATAGTGAACTTGGCGTTTGCTAAAGACGTTCAAGTTAAAAAGGAGTCCAGTTTCAACCCACCACCTTTGCCTTCGTTAAATTTAAATAGGGTATGTTATAAATTGCATCTATTTAATTATTAATATGTTAAATGTCTAAAAAATATTAAAATATTGTCTTTTACAGTTAAATAATAGGATAAAAACTCAAATACAAGATAAGAAACGTCAAATATCAGCTATGTCTGCTAATGTTTCCCCTGAGGCACAAAAATTGTATTTGACTATAACTAAAACGTACATTTTTAATAATATATAATTCAACTATCTGTAGAAGAATAAATAAATTATATTTGTCTATTTTATGTTTAGGATTCCAGAAGTAACTTGGCAAGGGCAAAATATTGTTGTTTATGATCAAGTGATAATTAGTCCACCATATAAGGCCGATAATGTCAAAGGCACTGGAAACCAAGAAGACAAAGCTATTTTGTACATAAAGAACATTGTAAGTAGACTTAAAGTTGTCTCTTTATCTTTAGTGTTAACATAGTTTACATAGAATAGACAGCGTATACTTAAAATATCCTATGCTAGTATTTTAGTTCTGTTATGTTACTGTTTTTGTGTTTTTATACAATTATTTTAATCATGAATCCAAAGTTAGTTTAACAATTGGATAAGTTGTATGCTTCACTACATACATGAATTGTCTCAAGATTGATAAATTATTGACTGTCATTAATTTTGGTCGTCAGATTTTGCTTATGATAAAAATTCTAAAAATTATTTTTCATTGTTAATCTTAGTAAAATACAGTAATCCTCCGTTATCAGCGAGAGTTAAGTTCCAGCAAAGTTACACGGTTAACGAGACCAAAAGTAATGTAAAAAGGTACCTACATTGTATTAATTTAGAAAATCACAATAATAATGTTAATATTTTTTACAATTATGTATTTGATTAATTATTATTTTTATTATACATGATTTATTAAGTAATTTATTAATCATCAATTATACATACATTATGAATGGTGAAAAAACCTCTGAACAAATTAACGATATAATAAAATAAAATAAGTCATAATGTAATGTTTATCTGTGCAATCAGTACATATAAGCATAGTTGTATAATTATTTGCATTATACCTACCAATATAACAATAATTATTTACAATTTTCTAAAATAAATTATCTACAGCGTTCTTATAATAACAATAAAATGTTATTGTAGACTTAACCGGGGATAACAAGCGATTACTGTATAAACATTGTTTGAATATTAAATTTATGCTCCTTAGAGCAAGGCACTTGATTTACATTAGACACTGCCCAAAGTTACACTTAATGAAATAAAGTATAGTAACCAATTTTAAATTATTTATTTCATTAAATGGATAGATTTGCTACTGAATATTATATATTATATTATATGTTTATATCACTTATAATATGTTGAATTTAAACTATAATAAAATTGTGCTATTATTTTATCATTTTTTATTATGATTCAACTAAATAATTGTAATAATGTTTTATTTGGTGATTTTAAAAAATATTTTAGGTGGAAAAATTTGTAAAAGACACAGCTTCTCAACAAGTTTCATCCACACCAACAACCCATCGGAGCAAACCATCTGCTGCTACCGCTGCAGCGCCACAGCCACAATGAAGTTATGCTGTGATCAAGGGAGTTTAAATAAAATGATTATAATTTATTAAGTCAAGTTAAATAAAAGAGAAGAACCCAAGTAGATATATTTATTATACATTTATCAGCAATACTCATCTAATTTCTATTGTGGATTTATATAACTTTTTTTTCTGTCTAAAATATAAATCAATATTTGATTTCTAATTAACTAAGCTCTTGGATTCTGAAAACTCTTACAACTTGGAAATACAATATTCTTTTTTATTTTATATTTTTTTATTGAAAAGTTATTATTTCATGCGTAAAAATATGTTTTTGACTTTAAAAATAAAAATAATTGAGTCACTTATATTATTTAAAAAATTGATTTCATCCATTGTTGATAATTAGACAAGTCATCAGTAACTCAAAATCTACAATCTAAATGTAAGCTATATTATATTTTTATAATTCATGCTGTTTTTTACCATAGAAAGTCAACTCATTCTACAGAACAATAAAAGTTTATAAAACCTGTCATTAATATTAAAGAAAAATGATTATGTAAAAATAATTAATGCTTCTACTCAAACTTTTCAAAAACTATTTTGATGTAATATGAGATTTATGTAGGTAATAGATTTCCAAGAAGGTGTTTATAGTAAATAAATCCATTTCTTGTGACCTTATTAATTTTATTTTTACCAAAATTATCATATGTTGAAGATGTGATGGGGGTTAAAATGTATTATATTACTGGTGTATGTATTGCTAACAAATCATAATTGATCTAATTTATATATATACTTTATATAAAAATATTTTTGCAACTCAACAAATAACTTAGAAAAATTAATATGATTTTTTGTCTCCAATTTTGAGTTACAAATTATTAGTTTTATTTTATATTACATTCTATAATAAATAAAATATTAGTTAAACTTCACCAATAATAAGCATCATTGCATTAGTACATTGTTATTATAAAAGTTTCATAAAGGCATGAACAATAACGAAAATTCAATTTCTCATAGACCTTAAATTTTAGACTTTTAAACCATTAAAGTTGACGTGTACTAATTAAATCATTCCCTGTTGTATTTGGTAACTATTACATAGCTTATATTATTACATAATGGGACATATAGGATAGAAACTCAAGTTACTAGAGAGCCAATTTTACAGTTTTTAGAATTTAAAATATAGCAATCAAGAGAGCAAAAATAAAATTCAACTCCTTGAAATTGTTTTTTGAATTATACAGTTAATTTTTCTGAGTAGATAATGTCATGTTCATAAATTACCGTAATTATCCAACCTAATTCTATTTTGTATAACTTCCTTATGCAGTAAATGTTTTTATTTATTTTATGCTGCAAAAATTAGCAACTTGTGTCCTGCATATTTATTTACATTATATATTTACACCTTTAACCAGTAGTTCCTACTGTTTTTTTAAATTGTTTTATAATTAACGTCTAAATGAAGAAATTTAAAAAAAAAACCAATTGACCTACTAAATTTATTTTTAAGTAAGCTAGTTCTTTGGTAAGTTAAAGTTGTCCATTCCTGATATAATTACTGTATAAATTCCCAAAATATTGGGGTCATACATTTTGATAAAGAAATCTAAAATATACATATTGTGTATTGTAATATATTTTGCATACAAGAGGTGGTAGTGGTAACATTGTTAATAGACTTCTTGTTCTGTAATAGACAAATAGAAAATAATTTTTAACATTTTAACCTTTAATTAGGTTTAATATCAAAAAATTTGTTGGTCAAAATTCATAGGTTTTTAATAATTATAATATATCAAGTAAAAATAAAACTATTCAACTTAGAATTATCTGTTGACATAGACAGCAAATGACTTAAGATCATCTTATTAATGAAAATAAAACCAACTTTGTTTACATCTTTTCATATTTAATAATATAATTTGTTTAAAATTATTGTCAAATACATGAGTATTAATTTCAGGTATTATAAGTATATTTTTATAAGTATAGTTTTACATTAATTRTAAGTAAATCCAAATTTAGTCATACCTAATGAAAAATATTCCAATAGCACCCTTTTCCTATGTAGCGTTGAAATTTTATTGGAGCTGTTGACACTAAGAGTTTGAGGATTCAAAGTTCAAACCCCCTTAAACATTAGAAGTATATGAATGTACTTATAAACATTTAAAATTAAACTACTTAAATATTTTTTTTTTCACTAAGCCCCACTACATATTAAATCCTAGTATACACACGCTTTTTATATGCAGTGTACAAAAATTAATGAATACTGATTAATCATTTTTGTACTTATGAAGTTTTGATGAATTCCTCAAAAAATAAAGACAATATTTTTAATAAAAGTAAATTTATGTAATATATAATAATAATATGTTAGTATATCTATTTGGATGATTTAGTCTGAAATATTTGCTTAAGTTGCATTTGCGTTAATGGTAAAATTATTATATTTGCCATACTTAAAAAAGGGAAATAACATTAAAAGGATTAAAAAAAAAACAAATAAATATAATAATAAATAATTTTAAGTTATTTAATGCTGTTTTCTTTTTTGAAAACACTTATTATACATTTTTTTTTTGTTACATCACTACATTTCTAATGCATTATTTGAATAGTTTTAAAATACTTTCATAGGTAGTTAACAGTTGTATTGCATATTCTTACTATTATAAAGATATGTTTATTGACAGTCAAACAGATTGTGTCTAATAGGCATACATTGGCACTGATAACCTAATTTATCTATGTCAGATGGCATAGTAGATTTTTTAGGTGGAAGGCCTACATCACTAAAATCTTAAATTAATTAAATAATTGATCTGTGGATCATGAAATATTTGTTCAACTAATATTTATAAATAAATGATTAAACATTGCATTAGATGCTTTGATCATCACATCTAATTGTTATTTTTTTTTTTTAWAGTTAGGATAATAAAGTCCCTTGATGTATGATGTCATAATATATTTTAAGCACTTTAGTGCCACTGTAAGCCTTTTTTAAAATACTGTTAAAAACACAATAAGACACCTACAATTAAATTTGAATTATTTCTTAGTTATTAATCATATTATATTTAATCACTTTTCATATTAAACTAATAATTATTACTAAATAAATAACAACAGCATACAACAGAACTATAAAAATGGTAACTATTTGATACTATTAATTTTAACCACAGTAGAACCTCGACTTATCAAATTTTTTTTTGCCCTCAACAGATTCAAGTTATCGAGGTTCTACTGTACATTATTTGAATTATACTTTTGAGCGGTTATTTTTCCAATAGTCAATAGATTGCATTTCCATGAGCCTTGATACTGTTCGATCAAATGCAAACATTTCTTCATCCCCAGTAAAAACATTGGCTTTAGCATTGGCCTAAAAATAATTCAATACATTACTTTTTTAGAAAACATTGATACATTGTAATTATAAAATAAATGTAGGTAATATTAAGTAATTATAATTTTTTTTATACTGTTATCACTAGTTATAATAATAGAATCTAATTATATTACATTATTATTATCCACTAACATATTTCTGTTTAAGAGGTTGTGAAATGTCTATTTTCATTGCGAATTAAGTAATAACATACTTCAAAATTAAAATTAGAAAAGAAAGTCTACATAGAAAACTGGAGTCAGATAATGTTTAAAAATAATCTGTGCATAAAATTTGCCATGTTCTGCTTTAGTAAGATGAAGATAACGGATTATCAGGTATAATATACTCTTAAAGTTGACATATAAAATAAATTATGTAACATTCAAGCTCAATCAACTTATTATTAAGCTGAAATTGTATTTTATAATACTATATGTTTTTATCATATTTGTGAGAATAATAATAATAAATGACAATAAAAAGAACTCTAAATTCAGTAAGCAATTAGAATTTCTTGAGTTTTATTAAATAATAACTATATAGTGTTTAACATTTTAAAAATATTAGAAACTGAAAAAATGTTATAATACTTTACCGAATCAGTTTGTAAATCTAAATCGTCCATAAGAACTTTCTGATCATCGTCTAATCCGTCTGTTTTTTGGGCTACAAATAATTCTTTTACTGGTTTATCTGCATATATTAAAACAAATATCTAAAAAATAATATTTTATATCACCAATAATTATTACTCAAAATATTAAATCTGTAAGATTACCTTATGATCATAAAGTGTATCAATCAAAGTGATAAAACGTCTCAATGGCGATAATGAATCTAAATCAAGTTGAGGAACATCTCTTATAGCTATTGTGTGAAACATTTGAGCTAAGTATAAGTAATCTACAGCGCCTAAAGGCTGAAAAGTTTTTATTGTAAATTTATTAAGTATATTTAGTGAAATATAATATTACCCGATCACATAATTCTTCAAAAGTAGCATCTAAGATTTGTCCACATACTCTTTTGAATGTAAGATTCCTTTGCATAATAATTAATGTTCTTGGCCTGACAGTATCATTTTCACTATTTGTAAATCTTTTAATGGAGTTTTCAAAATCTTTTAAGGTATCAACATTTCGTCTATGGAAAAATGCACACAATACTTTAATAATTATGGTAATGGTACCTCAATTTATTATTTTTATAAAATAATATATTTATGATCTGTATAGTATGTCACTATGTATACTTACACAAAATATGATTTGTATCCACTTTTTGCTCTTATAACTCTATAGTCAATACCAGAATCCAAATTGACGACTATAGAATGTTGCTTTAATACAGGTATAAACGGTAAAAACAAAAACCTTTGTAGTCCATTTTTATATAGATCATCTGGCTTACGATTGCTGGTCGCTACCATAACCATACCTTTATCAAAAAGTACAGTGAAAAGCCGTTTCAATATCATTGCATTTGCTATGTCAGTCACCTAGCAAGAGTTCATGATAGTCCTATAATTAAAAGTGTGATATCTACAATAGACAAATAAAATATTTTTAAAAAATACCTGAAATTCATCAAAACAAAGTAACCATGATTGTTCTAATATTGTATCAGCAACCATAGGAATAGCATCAAAATTTTCTTTAGTGCTCAACCTTAAATTATGCACTCTATTATGAATATCCAACATAAACTCATCAAAATGAACTCGACGTTTTTTTTCTACCTATACAATTGGAAAATTTGCAAATAATTAAAATGTAAATATGTTGGGCAATCAATAATAATTGTGTTGAGTAGTAATTTTGTACTAAAGTTTGTGCGCTATTTTGCCATTAATTTCTTTACGTATAAATAATTGAAGACAATGTATATACTTAATTATTAAACTTGAAAAAAAATTTAAATTAAAAACACATATTTAAAATTGATTCTGAATAAAACTATACTTAGCAAACATATCATACATACTTTAAGCATGTTTAAATTTTTTAATCAAATGTATAAATAAACTAGTACAAATTACTAATCATAAAATATAATAATTACTTCACAACAGGAAAAAAATAAATCCATTAACATGGTTTTACCACATCCAACTGATCCATGCATGTAAATACCATTTAAGGGTACTTTTCGCCGACCAAACCATTTTGAAATTACACTTTGTGATGGTAGTGAATAACTTTTTAAAGATGTATACACTTCATCTAGCTGTTTGACAATTTGACGCTGATGATCATCATTGATCAATTGACCATCACTCACTCGTTGATCATAGAGTTCAGATGGTTTCGTTTGAAAACGGATGCTAGTGTAGATTGTACGAATTTGGATATTTAATCGTGGGATTTTCATGACGACAGATTAAAATTTACAAGTAGTTATAACGACAGGTTCTGATCTGCAAATAAAACTATTTTAACACTAGCAATATCTAAGAGTTTAATATTGACACATTTCAAAAAAAAAAATACAATACCAACAATAATGTAAGTATTACAAAATTTACTATTTCATAGAGCTATAAKTCTAAATTATTTTAAGCTATTGGCGTAAAGCCACAAATTCTAATATTTTACCTTTATAACTTAAAGATTATCGATGAAGGATGTACGTCGTTTAATGTGTATTACTGTATTTGCTGTACACTATTCTGGCCTTAAGCGTTAAGCACTTAAGCATAATAATTTTAAGATAAACGTGTTTTATAATCACTTATCACTACTAATCATTGATTAGTTTACACACGGTAGGTATATATATGTATATATTTTGTAAAGAAGTTCAGTAATCGGTTTGTTCGTACAGAAAGTAATATCACGTCACAGTTTATATAAAAAATGAAAATACATTTTTTATATAATATCTGTGATTATCAAGGTGAATTGATAATAAAATGATATCAATTCTATTATTACATATTATAAAGACTTTTTTGTTTTTACTTAATCACGGTCCATGCCTCCACAGCATAGGGAACCACAATATTCTTGAGTCCTTCCCTTACAAACCTCGATAATTTTTTCCAGTCTTTATGCTTATAAGTTTTCAAGAAGAATTCGATAAGTACGTATTGTTTCCAACGTCTAACTTCTTGAACATTCAGAATTCAAAATCGATACGTATCGATACACTCCAATTTCTTCCTTGAAAGTCTTGATACTTTATATTGTATCATTTTCATGAATTTATGCKTAATCGATGACGTACGCAAGGCAGGCACGTATCTGGTGAGAACAAATTAAAAAATGTTTGCCTAATAATACATTAATATATCATGCATATTTTATTAAACTACTGTCATTTAAATAAAAAAATATCTTTTAATAATTTAATATAATTACCTATATGGTACTTGTGCGTTATCGCGACTACCGCACGCYACATATGCGTTATCGCGACTACCTCATATTATGGTTGTAGGAAAAAAACCACGAAATTAAAAACAAAAACAAAAAAAGACTATGAAAATAAAAAAATAAATATTTTCTTGTTGTCATATTTTAGGTATTGTATAGAAAATTACAAAATAAATATTTTGTCAGTAGAATAGACTATAAATAAAATAAGAAGTTATCGATATCTTATTGTATAATGTAGAGAACAACAATTAATAAATTAGTTAATACATTTTATAGAAAATTACAAATAAATATCTTGTGAGTAGAATTAAATAAAATAAAAAAGTTATAAAAAGTTGTATAATAGTCAATAGAGACTGGCATCCTTGCTCTAGCGTTGACGTCTAATAATTGTGATACCGTTTCAGCATAGGTACATCTGCGACGGGTTAGCTCCTGAATACTTTGCAGTCTGTTTAATTCTGTTTATGGCTTTTGCGATTTCGATTTTTGTTTGTTCAGCTGCAGGGTGCTCATGTCTAACTTTGAGAATGTGGCYGGTTTTATGGATTGAGATGTGGAGAATAGCTGGACAGTTTAGAGAACTCTTTAGTCTTTTTATTACATCTTCATCATAATATGTAATAGTTTTTTCCTGCGTGCTTCATTTCGTGCATATAACCATTAAACGTTAATTTTTCTTTGCCTTTATTTGATTTTATTATTTCCATAATACCGTGTCACAACTAAATAGAGAGTCAACTAAAATAACAACTAGTCACTAGGTAATACCTATAATATATATTGTTATCGTTTTTTTTCCGCGTGCCCATATTATATAGGTTATAGGCGACGTCGTTTTATATGCGATTCTATTTTTTTCCAGTGTCGTTACAATCACACTTAATACTTATCGCAAATTTTATAGACTGGCTGGGTAACTTTTAGGACACTTGRGCATTTAGTCACAACCACGCAGTCACGATGGTAGTATAGAGGTAACTTGTTGTACAGTTACGATTATTTGGCAATGGATCTGTGGAACTTACCAACAACGGAAAAATAAAGAAATACATTTTTTTTTTAATGAGGGTAACCTTGATTAGACTGTTTTCGCTTGGATTGTACCTATTTGATTAATTTTAGTGTTTTTTCTAAGAATGTCAATAAAAATTCATTCATTCTATAGAAAAGTAAAAAAATAAAAATAAAAATTTAATACAAGGTTCCTTATAAATCATAAGTCTATAATTCTTTATCATATAATAGGAGAAATTATTGTATTTGAATCGCTAATTGCATAAAGTGATCTACTTTGGATAGGTCCACTTTCCATATTAGTCCCTACAAACAACTAATAATGGTTTTAGTTCCCGGGCTTTGGATAAATAAAAAATAATAATAATATTATTGTATACTTGTACAATTTATTATAAATATTATTATTTAAAATCAATATTGATACATTAAAAAAAAAAAATTGTTCTCTGGGAAACACTGAGTGGACATATTATATTATAACATATACATAACTACGAATTAATGGATGCTATTAAGAAATATTGTTCATTGAAAAATATATTTCTTGTTAAACACATATTGGCTGTTTAAAGTTTAACCTGGAAAATGTCAAAAGGATTATTGATTGGTCTAACGTTTGGCGTTATAGGATCCATGTGCATGGTAAGTTATTACTTGTCCAAGTTAAAGGACCGTTCAAAAACCAATCAMGATGATCTTCAAATAAACGAGGATCTAGAACTAAACAAAACATTGAATTATTTTTGTCATATTTATTTTAAGTCATACAATCTGTTAATAATATTTTTACAATAAGAAAAAAAAAAAATGGAGGGACACATACGAGGGTTTGGTTAGCTTGATTTAAGAATCTATATAATAGTATTTCATGWCGTGGCTAGTGGTTAGTCGATTAGTCGACCAATAAGTCACAAGACCAGCAATACGCTTATATACAAAATATTATAATGTATAATAGGTATAGCTTAGCGTATCCTACCAATTTATCGTAGCCCAGGATTGAGGCGGGAAACGGATATAACGTAAAGGCCAAAGGGTGAATAAATCTGGTATATAAATATATAATATAGGTGACACTCGAATTGCCTCTCAAATTTAGGTACCTAGGTGACTTTTTTCTACTCGAATTGCCTCCTGGTGTTTTTGGAGGCAATTCGAGCATACCCAAACGGTCTACTCAAATTTCCTCCCATAACATACCTGGATTGTTAATTATATCGATAGTTGTACGTGTACTATCGATTATTATATTATTCCGTTATGTTCAAAAATACAATTTTTAAGACATACAGTATTTCCCAGACCGATTAATAAATTAATGATTAATTCTATCATCACCAGTTCAACACAGTCAGTTTCGTTTGCGCAACCACGATACATAACACGTTATTATAATATAAKTAGTATTCATAATGTACGTATTATATTTTTATAAAAATGAACGAGATCAGCGTGATCCGTGAAAAGGGTAAAACAATTATAATATGTGATGGTTTTAAGTTTGGATATCAAAAAGATTTAGTTAATGATTATTAACATTTATTTTATACAAACTTAAGTTTTTGACAGTATAACAGAATGATATTTCATCTAAATAATGTTTGATATATTTTTTTTATAAATCGATTAATTATAGCTATCGCCAGGCGATTCCAGTACAAGAGTAGGCATATAGTGACCCTCTTAGGAGGCAATTCGAGTGAATAATATTTTTGAAATCAGGAGGCAATTCGAGTAACCTTTAAAAACAAAAAAAGGCGGGTAAGTCGTGGATGTCGCTCTGCTGTACAGTAGGTTACAAGTGGGATACTGTGATGGATGGAATTAAATTTGAATCCAATGATATTATATCATTGTATACGAAAAACGATTCTGAGCGAAGACGGTTTATCTGTCTAGGATATATTATAGATTATTAAAAATTTTCAAATCTTAGATTTAAAAAGAAAAATTTTTAT